ACGATTTCACAAACCTTTGTGCTTCTTAGCCAAAAAACATTTACCCAATGCGATGATTACATTATCAGAAATATATATTGACTTGTATGTAATACAGTAATTAAGTTCCAATTTTCCTATCTTTTAGAGATATTGATAGCCCGTGTGTCTTAATTTATGCCTGCCTGATTTCCTCTCTAATAGCATCGGTTAATTTCATATAATGTGTTCGAGGACAGGGAGACTTTGTCAATAAAATGAACCATATTTCATTGGATTCTGTCAATGAAATATTGTCTTTTATCAGAATAAAGTAAAGATTGCGATAATATCGATCAAATAACTACTAATAAAATATGTATTATGCATATTACTGGTGCAGTAAGATACAAAATATACCATGCTAACAGGGATTTCTGATGTATGAAAAAATATTTCCGCATATGGAAATGTTTTGTAAAGTATGTTTGCTGAAAAGTAATAGAAATGGTAACAAATGTAATGGAAATAGTAACAAATGTAATGGAAACAGCAACACAAATCATATAAATAGTTACAGATGTTGTGGAAAAAGTAACAAATGTTATTTAAACCACATTTCCATTATATTTATTCTTAGTCTACTAGTTCTATATTTAAATTAGTTGCGGGTGTCTAATTGGATCAATTAGCCATTTAACTCCCACAGAGGCCCCTTTTGTACCGTGCATCATTCATGGTTGTTATTGGCTTAGTCCCCACGTTGGCTCTTTAAGGGTTCTTATGGGGCTCATTAAAGGAAGAACAAAAAATTAGAAGAAACTTCAATCAATAAGACGACTTGTGGCATGAGAATATGTTTAATCTCCATCTAGATTTTTAAAAAGGTTTAACTATTAAATAAATCGACTGACGTATATATATTTTGGGAAAATTACCATAGTTTTGGAATTAAAAACTAGAATTGTATATCTCGTAAAATTTTTGTTGTTGCTTCTATTTTCAAAAAATAAGGCCTGTAGTCATTTTCAGGATTTGGTGTTAGAATTCTTGTTAAGAAAATACTCCATTTTCCTTAATCAAACTTATGCAAAATAAGAATATATATATATATATATATATATATATATATATATATATATATATATATATATATATATATATATATATATATATATATATATATATATATATATATATATATGTGTGTGTATATATATATATATATATATACACACACATATATATATATATATATATATATGTGTATATATATATATATATATATATATATATATATATATATATATATATATATAATGGGCAATACATAACACAATAAGATTACTTAATGACATTTACAAATCTAATACATTTTCCGTGAAGAAAACGGGTGTGCTTAATGTTTTTAAACAGACGAAATCCGTGTCATAATACTGATAATGGAATGCTATCGATCTACAACGAACTGATGAACCTTATTGCCTGCGTCGTAACGGTGTTGTCGTTAGGAAGCACATTTATGTCGAGTTAGAGCTTTATAAATTACCGTCCTAGCCGACCAGACATATAGGAGACTTCTTTTCAGAATATTGACACATAAATCCATATAATCTTCTCATCAACATGTGTTGCCCAGAGACAGAAGAATTAAACTTACTTTGAAGTAAATGTAAACGAAGAGGCACAACTTTATCTCAAGCCGTAAATTTGTCGTTGGGGATGGATTAGGCTATTGCATCTATATCGCCTTGTTTCTCCTTAGCTGTTTGGAAGCTATTATGTTGGTTGGAGCCATACGCAATGACTCTTTTATTGGTAAATGCTCCCAGTCAGAATTTCAAATAATTAAATGAGAGCTCATGGAAGCGTCTTTTAAGACTTTCTAGAGAATGGAGTTAACCATGTAACTATAGAAGAAAAACTTGCTCAAGGAAACGTTCTGGTCGTTTCGCGATGTCTTTTTTCATCTTGTTTCCCTGGACTCCCCAAAAACCTTAACGATTCAGAATAGGTATAAATTTTTATCATTGTTATTGATGTTATGAAAACTGAAGTCATTACTTTACTTAAAGTCAGCTGTAAGAAAATACCAAGTAAAATTCAAATTATTTGCTAAAATAAGAAAATCAATATTCACCATAATTTTCGTAGATAAACTGAAATTTTCTAACTCTATCTTTCATCTTCAGTGGTATATAGCAATTCCACAAACATCGGCAGTATTATAAAAAAAATTCTACAAACATCGTTAATGGTATATACGAATTCTACAAACATCGACAATGTTATATACAAATTCTACAAAAATCAAGCGAAAAAGGAATCGTTGCGAATAAATTAAAGAGTTTATCGAGAACCCTCTACATTTTACTTAATATTCGATGAATGTTCTCCGATAAAAACGAAATACATTCCGGATCCCATTTCAGTCCAGGGAGGTTCTGAATTAATTCAGGCCGTTGGGCAAATAATAATATGCAATATTTCACAGCCAGACCGAACTACTTTAGCAAGATCGATGTTCTTGACGGAAAAAGATAACGCCTGCCAGATATATTAAATGTGGGAAATCGAGCGTAGCATTTATCATACACCTAACGAAATAGTGATTGGAGTTATTCGTCACAGCCAATGCAGAGTGATAAATTCATTGGTGTAGTCGCCATACACTATTTTAACTGATTCCCATGGGTGCCTGATATCACTTGAGTATTTTATTATAATGCAAAAAATAAATAAATAAATAAATAAATAAATATATATATATATATATATATATATATATATATATATATATATATATATATATATATATATATATATATATATATATATATATATATATATATATACACACACATATATATATATATATATATATGTATACACACACACACACACATATATATATATATATAACATATATATATATATATATATATATATATATATATATATATATATATATATATATATATATATATTATTGTTGTTGTTGTTGTTGTCGTCATCATCATCATTATTATTGTTATTATTATTATTATTATTATTATTATTATTAGTAGTAGTAGTAGTAGTAGTAGTAGTAGTAGTAGAGTGATTTGGATTTTTTTACGTAGCTTTTACTATTTTATCAGTAAGATAGCTGCGATGTCTGAAGTGTGGCAGTTTATAGTGTTGTCTAGCACTGGAGAATCATGCCGCAGACATGTGACATGATGTCCCCCCCCCATCACATTATCCTGACATCAGGCCGTCCAATCCTAACATTAACTTCCTCATGCTGAGCGCCTAGCGAGGCAGCTGTTAGTACCATTTTTATAAGTCTTTGATACGACTCGGCCTGGGTTCGAACCTGCTACCTCCCGCATCCGAGGCGAACGTTCTAATCAGTAGTGGTAGTAGTAATGGTGGTGGTGGTGTTGAGATAGTCAAATATAGATGAAAGGTATAATTTAAAATAAAGTTTTTAGCTAAGAGAAGCAAATGCAAATTTAGATACTGGAAGCATCCATATTTGAAAGTCTTTGGTAGACAGAAGAATAGGGTTGCGTTTGTTATAAAACTAGCTGATATGAAGAAAAATAAAACAACGGTTCGAGTTATAAAGAATTAAAAAGAAAACGCTTGTAATGTTTTCTAGACATTTTTAAAACAAAGTCTTCTTGCTTTATTTATTGATAATTAGGACAATCATGCTTGGCGCGTGCTAGAAATCTTCGCATGTATTTCAGACTGGTAGTCTCTTTTTTGTTTTGGAAAAAACTATACCGAAGACAAATTTCGGAAAGACTATATTTTTTTCAGGGAAAATACCGTTTATTTTAGTGACATTTTTATTGATTTATTCTAAGTGCTATACCTGTTTTCTTTTTAATGAAAAAAATGATGCTAAAATTATAGGCTATTTGAGTTTTACAAGTGTTACTGATAACGGTTTCGACAAAGATTTTTTTAAATAAAGTTTGTTTCATGTCTTTTAGAGATAATCATATATAAAAATGCACTGCAAAATGAACGAACAAATATTTGCATTATGATTAGTGCACGAATCTCTCCCAAAATTCTTCACACGTCTTAAAATGTTTACATTTTACAGTGTTGTTGAGATTGCGAATGTAGCAGGTCAAAAGAAGAAATAAAACCAAGATTTGTCTAGTAAATGAGGGAATCAAAAACTCAAAATGTGGAGCTCTCTTTAATATTTGACCTTGGCAACTTAGCAGCCATTGTCGAAATCGTAAAGGACGGAAGCACTTTCAAAATTGTATTGTCTTAAAGCAAACACATACCCAAAGTAGCTAATACTTTGTGTCCTTACATTTTGAATATGCGAAATATCAACTTTCTAAGTACGACTGTATCCTAACTTCTTTTACTGCATTGAATGTTATATATATATATATATATATATATATATATATATATATATATATATATATATATATATATACACACACAATAATAGAACTATATTGTTATTTCTTTTTAAAAAAGCGGCTTTTTGAAATTTTGTTCAAGTATGATAAACACTCCGGTTTATACGATATAATATAAATTTAACATACCGAGGAAGTAAAACCGATTTGAATTGGTTTTATTCTTTTCAACGAAATGGTGTATGTTTTCCTAATAGCGATGGAAATGAATCACTTTTGGTACTCATTATACTTGGGGAGATTTAAATTGATTTAATGCAAAGTAAACATGAATTTAATTTCTCATCAGAAAAACCGCAACTAAATTTGTTGTGTATGGTTTGTGGAAAAAAATATTCAATGAATCCATCGTGTTCACTATGACTCCGGGTTTTAATTTGCTTTGTTTTGTTTTAGTAACCAATTACATTTTACTTCCGATAAAAAAAGATGCACATTCTTTGTTATTAAGGCATGTGTCCAACTATGTATGCTTTGTCTTTGAACATGTTGTACGTGTTATTCTTAAGAATTACGAACTGCTTCAAAGCCATATCACAAATAATAATCGGTTGCAACAACAGGCTTTCAATATAATCTCTGTATGCTGTCCTTACACTTGGCCCAGTGGCCTAGTGGTTAGAGCGCCCGCCTCGGATGCAGGAGGTCGCGAGTTCAAACCCTGGCCGAGTCATACCAAAGACTTATAAAAATGGTACTAACAGCTGCCTTGCTAGGCGCTCAGCATTAAGAAATAGTGTTAGGACAGGTCGGCCTGGTGTCAGGATAATGTGACTGGGTGGGACATCATGCCACATGTCTGCGTCATGATGCTCAGTGCTCGACAACACTATTAACTACCACACTGCAGACATCGTAGCGATATGACTGAAACATTTTTAAAGCAACTTTAAAAAATGCAAAACACACACACACACAAACATATTCTTTACACCTGGATTTTTCTTGAAGAAGCCATACTGTTTTCCTATTCTTTTGGGTGTATGAATTATGGACTTCAATTAACACAGCGCGTACAAAAAAAATCCCAAAATATTTATAGCATATTGGATCAATCGAAATATTAACTACCATCTTTGACGAGAAAGAAACATTGGATGTAATTCGCTGCTATGTAGATCGATATTCAGAACTAATTTTGTTCACATGGAACAATATGGTGGCGCAAGGAGATAAAATAACAATGTGAACCTTGTCGTCCTGTTCTGTCAGTGCAAAATGCCTGAGGCAAATCACCAAAACCAATGAAACGTATGTATATTAATGCAACTTCTTCTGAGGTTATTTGGTAACCTGATGGATGTGGTCTAACGATACTATACACTGTCGTATGAAAAGGATACTATACACTGTAGTATGAAAAGGATACTATACACTGTAGTATGAAAAGGATAATATACACTGTAGTATGAAAAGGATACTATACACTGTAGTATGAAAAGTATACTATGCACTGTAGTATGAAAAGGATACTATACACTGTAGTATGAAAAGGATACTATACACTGTAGTATGAAAAGGATACTATACACTGTAGTATGAAAAGGATACTATACACTGTAGTATGAAAAGTATACTATGCACTGTAGTATGAAAAGGATACTATACACTGTAGTATGAAAAGGATACTATACACTGTAGTATGAAAAGGATACTATACACTGTATTATGAAAAGGATACTATACACTGTAGTATGAAAAGGATACTATACACTGTAGTATGAAATGGTTAGCTGACAACTGCGTCACGTGTCCAATATTCGTGAGACCGCAGATTATGACGCCTGAAGCTGATGTGTAGTTACCCACATATCACTGTAATTTCATAAGAAATTTCCAGCAAGCGAATGTGGAAATGTCGTTGATGATTAATGAATAAAGAGATACATATTTATTATTCTCACCTATGCGACAGAAATCTGTCTGCTTAGCTAACCTTACTTTTCCGATCTGTCTGATTATCTCAGTCCGGTCCACGCCTAACTGAGTTATTATAAAATCTAACAACAACAACAACAATAGCAACAAATATATAACAAAATTAAATTCACTCATTAAGGTCTCTTCAACTTTAGTAACACACAATACAACACATTTTCAGACACAATCACATGTGGAGCTATTTGATAGAGATAAGGACACACAGGCACGGGCTATACTACTCCAAACTCTCTCAAGAACTACAGCAAAGCCGGCAAAACCAAAAAAAATGCGTTGTCAAAGTGGTTTCTTCTAATTTTGTTAAATACCCAGAACATATCTCAGTTGAATCAAACATAATGATGCTTTTGCAAATGAAAACTCATTCACTTACCAACAAGAGTGGTTCATTCGTCATCCATGTGCTATTCCAGACCAACAAAAGTTGTTCATTCGTCAGTCCACGTGCCATTCCAGACAAGCAAGAGTGGTTCATTCGTCAGTTTACGTGCCATTCCAGACCAACAAGAGTGGTTCATTTGTCGGTCCACGTGCCATTCCAGAAGAAGATTTCTATCTAGCTAATCAATACACCAGTGATTGTAACACTTGCTATATTTATAAGACAGAAAATAAACATTTCCATCAGTCATGAAGTTTTGTCAGTGATTACACACTCCGCTAGAACTGTACCCAACTAAGCCTATTGTACAACACATTATCGTACCGTTACCTACCATAGTACGTTTTCTAAACTTAGAAATGATGCAAGCTAAATTTTAACCTTTTATAGGATAGTAAATACTTATTGTTATTTTTCATTTGATATCAATCGATAGTACAGTAATAATATCAAATATTTCATGTTTTTATTGTCTCATGCGTAGAACTTGTGTACTTAGGATCGACAGGTTACCCCATTGTCCTCATTAACATATTATTATTATTTTGATTATTATTATTATTATTATTATTATTATTATTATTATTATTATTATTATTATTATTATTATTATTATTATTATTATTATTATTTATGTAAACAATAGCATGATGCTTCAGTCAGCAGGAAGAACAATACATACAAAACATAAATGCATAACAATGAAAGCCTTTGTATTGTGTGTTTTTTTTTTCTTTTCTAAGAGAAGCACATGTAATTAAATTCTACTTGAACAATTATTCTTATTTTTATATAACACTAAGGTCTAAAGTGAGAGGCAGCAGTAGTAACTGATTGATACTATACATGCCCAATCTGCTACAATATTGCAAAAATGCGAGATTATTTTAATTTAACTGGAAAAACTGGGGTGAGAAAAATAATTCATATGGATGCTTGTACCAAGACAAGGATAATCCTAGACGCGGGGATTCATTATTTTTCTCCCCACATGATATAGCCTCCTGGAGAGACAAATAATGTATTTACTCCCTAGAATTGAGTTTCTTTGTTCTGGTACAAACCCCAACATAGATTCTATTAGTCTCAGGAGTATGGTATTGTCTTGCCAATTGAGACCAGGCATCAGCAAAACTAAAATGATTGACTAATACGTATTCCTGAGCATTTAATCAGCTGGAAGCAGAGCCGACGTTTGAGAATTGTCAATTCGTGCCGATTAAAAAAGTTCAGTTGTGAAAGTGAAGTATTCGACAAAATCGTCAAGAATAAAAAGTAGTTCTAAATGAATATACCCATAAGATTCTACACGATCGGAAATGAAACGTAAAGATGTTACAATTCCATCAAATGTATAAATAAAGTATATAAAGTAAAATTATATAAAAATCTAAAACCGCATTCACACCAACAACCGAAAATTGTCGCTGGTGGTACATTCAGGAGGTATGCAGGAGACAAGTCTGTGTCCTGTTTACGATCAACACAATGCCGTCTCTACGTTGTGATTTGGGGATGCCAAATAATGGGTCTTGATGTTGATAAAGTTTTCTCATGATTTGCCAGTTATGTACATAACATGCATATTTACATACAAGATCAGTTTGTGGGTTCATCCATTCAGAAATGGGTCACTGCAACGCAGAATCAACCGCTTTGTGTAAGTGTTATTTACTGATTATCGAAACAATATTTGTCCCTTGGTCAGGTGGTGAAAAGTGTCATATTAACGAAGACCGAATATTTTTTTAAATCTACTGTCATTAATGTCATTAACATTTTTATTAGATACGTAAACAAGCGTATCAATCGTTCTGTATTACTGTAGGAATAACAAAACTGAACCAAATCAAAACCAAACAAACAAAAACCCCAACGTATTTCAGTGTTTTCTTAAATATTTGGCACGTTATTCAATGATAACGAATGAAACCGGAATACTGCGCAGTAATTATAGGTTACTGCATTTGTATGGGAAAATATGAACGAGATTTTTTTCGGATGGAGATACTTCGCGACCTTGGGAGTGCAATATATCTATCCGACAAAACGAGTTCATATTTCCCTTACAAATGCAGGGACTATTTCATTATACGCTCGTTTTCTTATTTTACCTAAGGCTTAATCATGTAAACAAAATTACACTAAAAGAAACAAAGTAACTGAATGTATGCCGTATTCCAAACTAATACACAAGAGCAGATTCATCGTTACACAACAGCATTATTAATGCGCATACAATTCTCCCCAGATAAATTTGAACTTAGTCACGTGCTAGATATAACTTTCAAAAGGAAATTGCGTATTGGTCTACTTAAAATTGAGTCAATGAGTGTGCATTGCAAAACCTTTTCCAATTGATCTTGAATGAATAGAGTTTGGAAATTTTGTCGATTCTACAAAAGTTTGTGATTATGGACTGGATTTATCTGTGCCAATTCTCATGAAGTACATCGGATTTCAGCAGCGAGGAAGCAGCATTTTGACATCTGCAAGTGTGTTTCTGTTCAGTCATCGAATCTTTGAATTCATAATGTGGGGGAAAATGAAGTCTTTCAATTGCAATTATCTAAAAGACGTTTTGGAATATAATGTTTATTTCATTTTGAGTACAGTAAGAAGGGTGTAATTTTACTTGGAATATAGTCGAAATTGCAGTACAATTTCGAAATGTGTAATCAAGCTTGAGAATCCATGACATGGCTTATGTAATTCGGATTTGAAGAACTAAAAAAAGCATACTTTGAGGAAATTCAGGATATAAAACTGTATATATTTTTTATATTTATATATTTTGGCATTCTTATTATTAGCTAAAGATGATAGTTTATGCCTTGTCAATTTGCATCTTGTTTGTAGGAACGCAGCAATTTAATGAAATCTGGCGTATATCACTAGCCTAATTCGGAAACATTGTATCAAGGAAGATAACACAGGATGTAGCAAAGCAGAAGATATGTGGCAGTACACGAAACATCATCTGCTTTAGTTCATTCAGAAACGAATTTAATCAACGAACACGTACGTGAATGTACATGATTTGTTTACAAAGTAGTTCAAATCCACTATTGGGCACACGTGTGTGCAATTTGAAGTACACATGAGCTAAGTATCGTAATATACTGTACGATTTTGACAATGTAAAGTTAACGGATAAAATTCTGAGCATATAATAATACACGCTACTTTAATGTTATGCAAATGTGCACGTATATGAGGTAATTACTATTTAACACTGGAAGAATTAATTTCGTTAAAAATAGCAGAAATAGTTAATCGAATGAGAGCACATATAAGGAAGCGGAGAATAGTTTTACTAAACATCGGTCAAAACTGGTGTGTGCGTGCGT